ATCCTCTTTTGTTGCCAGTTCAGAGAGTCCAGGTGGTTGAGTATCAGATTGTTCCATCTCGTTTCCCTTTGGGGTTTCTGTAGGTGATCTGGAAGTCTGGTTTTGAGGCTTGTTTATGTGTTTTCTCATTTCCACAGGGTGTGGGGGGGTGCTTCTGGCACCCACATGGCTCACCTTCTCTGCCTTAGGAGCTTGGGATGGACCGGGGGAGCTTCCTTCTGGGTGCTGGGACTGGCTCAGCTTCACTGCCCTAGGAGCCTGGGATGGAGGCAGGGAGCTTCCTTCCTGGTGCTGGGACTGGCTCACCTTCTCTGCCTTAGGAGCCTGGGATGGAGGTGGGGAGCTTCCTTCTGGGTGCTGGGACTGGCTCACCTTCTCTGCCCTAGGAGCCTGGGATGGCAGCCGGGGAGCTTCCTTCCGGGTGGTGGGACCAGCTCAGCTTCTTCTGTTTTCATTTTTCTTTCAAGAATCTTAGAAACAGGTATTTCCTGATCTCTGAGAGTGACTGGGCTTGGACTACAGAGTTTGTGGTTTACAGGGACACATCAATAGATACCAGGGAGCAAGGTGAGACTCAAGGACCGGAGCAGACAGAGGGCTCTGAGCACACGAACACAGGCTAGAACTGGCCTGCTCCTCAGTTAGCCCTTCCTGGCATGCTATGGCCTGAGTGTTTGTGTTCCCTTGAAACTCATATGGTGAAACACAATCACTAATGCAATAGTATTAAGAGATATAGCCTTTAGAAAACAATTAGGGTAGATGATGAAGGGAATTAGTACTCCTTTATAAAAGAGGCCCCAAGGAAACTTATTTGCCTCTTTAGTTACATGAGGGTGCAGCAAAAAAGGCACCATTAATGAGGCTAAGAGTGAGCCTCACCAGATGCTGAATCTTCCACTACCTTGTTCTTTTACTTCTCACCCTTTAGAAGGTGAGTGACAACTTTCTCTTTATAAATGGCTCAGTCTGAAGCATTTTATTATAGAAGTCCAAACAGACTGAGGTACTGCATGACCAAGGCTCTTGGGAATGCCTGAGTTCTCAGGTGTTCCCCCTTTTATAGCAGCCTGTATCTCTGCCTGTCGGTAGGAAATATATTTGTTGCATAATTAGTCCATGAATTATTGAGAACTTAATGGTATGAGATAAGGGAGGTCTGCCCTCTGGATTAGGAAATGGATTTAATATGAGACTGATATTCAGATAAAATTAAAGCATGAAGTTTTTTTCAGGGCTTACATCAACCCAGAGCTGTATCTGATCATTTATATCAAGACATAAAAAGAGCACATTGCAAGAAGAGAAATTCTATCAACACGTGACTAATGGAATGGAATGTACAACAAAACAGCAGACAGAACCATGAAGGGAGATAAGTTATTGCATCAGTCTTCCTTCAAAACAGCCCACCTGGTGCTAATAGGAATGACTCATCTTAGGAGAATTACTCCTCAGTGGGTCCCTTTTTGGTGACTTCCTGGGCTCATTCTTTTTTTTAACATCTATGCCCACTTGTTCCTGCGCAGCTCACCTGCTGTGTCAGTTGCACCTGCAGATGGCCAAAGTTCCAGAGAACAGTTGCCAAAGCAATGTACTGAGAGTAAAAGGGAAGTGAGCTGGGTTCCTGCGGACCTGGAGCTGAGGGCTGAAGCAGGATGTGCCTGGGAGTAGAGGTTTTGAAGTGGCAAGCATAGGGAACATTTCCTGCAAAGGTCTTGAGGCAAAACCCTCGTGGTGTGTAGGGAGAACTACAAGTGGGGTGTGCTATCCTGTGGGGTAGAAAGGGATCAGCCTGGAAAAACTCTTAGGACCAGTTCTTGAAGAGTCTTGCCTGTGGGGTCGGAATCCTGCAAGGGTGTGGAGACTTTAAAGAACCTTATGGAAGAAGGTGCTGTGATGAGACTTGCATTCCCAGGTGGAACTACATGTATTATAGAACTGCAGGACATTGAGCGAGCCTGCAGACCCGAGTCTGGTTAGAAGGCCGTGGCAGTCAGTGCAGTATTAAAAGGCCCAAACACTCACAGTCCACCATAGGTAATTTGCATGACAGAGCGAGGTCAATATTGACAGAAGCAGGTACACAGCTTGAGAAATACTATGTCCTTACTCTTTATTATTTTAAATTCCTTCTAGCTTTAAAATTCCACATCTCTAGGGTATCCTGTTGTGAAGGGTGATGCTATATTCGGAGCCTCTGCCACATGAAGGGGAAAACCTAGAAAACAACCCAACTTTGGTGGGTGAAGGTGTGGGGAGACACCTGTAGAGACAGAGTCAGCACTGTCCGTGGTCGGGGGAATGAACTACAGACATGAGAAGAACACAGGCAGATGAGTTTAAGAGATGAGAACCAAAAGATAAGTCAGATGTGCTAGGTTCTGCATAACTAAAGAAATAGCTAAAATAACAATATAGAGTTTTAAGGATATATATCTATATCTATATCTATATCTATATCTATCTATATATATATATATATATCTCCAATATTCCAGTACTGGGGGGACTGGACCCAGGGAATGCTGATCTTCAAATCCGACCTTTTTAAATTTTGAGATAGGGTACCACTAAGTTGCCCAGGCTGGTCTTGAACTTTCAATCTTCCTGACTCAGTTTCCCAAATAGCTGGGATAACAAATGTGTGCCACAGCATCCCACTTGTAATTTATATTCTTATATATAATAAAACTATAGATAAGGACACCAAGAGAAAGATGAACGTGGGATCTAGGACGATGGTAACTTGGTGGGAAAAAGTGACAGAGAATGACAAAGAGGGACCAGGGGGTGAGATTAAGTGATTGCCAAGTCTTAGACTTTTTTTGGGTAATAGGTCTGGGTATTTATTCCATTTCCAAAGTAGCTAAATCACTAAATCAGAAATATAATGGATCATTGGTGGAGAAGCAGATAGTGACGATGGTGAGGGGGTGGGGACGTGGAGAGTCCAGGACTCCAGCCAAGAGGGGAGGAAGAGGCCTGGAGGCCAGGCAGAAAGGGCTGGCACAGGTGGGGAGCCCAAGACGAAGGGTCCATTATGATGGCCTTTGTCAGCCACTGGAATTGGCATTTACTCTTGGTACTGCATGTGAAATTTCCCTGAAAGGTTCTCGGGGAGAAATTGAGCCAGATTGTCACACTGTAGTTCAAGGGAGCCTTCACCCTAAGGACAAAAAACTGAGTCAGGGTTCGATTTCCCATTGCTAACAAGAACTGAAGCAGCAGCCTGCACCCCTGCTGAGTGAGTTCATCGAGCTGAAAGCAGTGTCTCTCATCTGTCCTCCTGTGTCTCAGCAGCCAAGTAAGAACCCCACGCCCAGCATACTCACAGCTTTATGATGTCTGATCCAAACAGGTGAACCAATAAGTAGCAGGTGGTTTTCAAGAAGAGTTTTCCTAAGAAACAGAATATGTTTTTATTGTGATTAATTTGAACATTAAACATGGATTTAAACATGAGTTAATGAAGAACTAAGATTGAGTGGTTAATGACTGATTTCAGTGTTTAATTTAAAAGGCTTAGTAATTTTAAAGTGAATGTATCTATTAACATATCATTTCTGTCTAGGTTTATGTGAATTCCACTTTTCTATATATGCTGAAGACCTCCACTTTATTATAAAAATACAGTTACATTTTGAGTTTTCATTATTTTCTTTTTTTACAGCAGGGAATATCTGAATGTGGGCTAAGATCTCATTTGGGGTTGAAAGAAACAAAAATTGTGTTAAAGTAATAATCTGGAATGTGGATCTACTGGAGATATTCTTTGCCGATATTCATTTTGGGGAGAAGACTTCGCCTTGGCTAGTTTTTTGCTGTGATTACCTCAAAGATAGAAGACCAAATGTTACAAGGGCCTCTACACTGCCATCTATATGAGCGAGCACAGATAGGAACAACACACAATTACACCTATGAAGAGAACACTCTACATCAGAGAATACAGATGCACACACTTATATCTAGATGTCCTCCTAAAGTCTCATGCTTTGTTTAAATGAAACAAAAACTTAGTACAGTAAAAGACACATTGCCCAGAATGATGGGGTAAGTGTCTTCAAAGCGAGTGAATATTTTCAGGGGTATTAATAGCAATGTGTCTTTGACTGTAATTTTTAATTTAAATATTCACCATATGTTTTGATCAGTCCATATCCTCCAGTAAATGACTATAGGGGAAGATGTATGAATCCTTAGAAGAATCAAAGATGTTTGTAGCAAGATTTGTCTTGGTTTGTGAGAGTATGCTATCCTAGTAACACTAATTTCTTGATAAAAATTAATTTTCAGGGGCTTAATAACAACTGAGTTTCTTTGAAGGATTTGTACTTAGGGAGATAAGGGAAATTCAGAATCTCTCACTCTATTTACCTATTGGTAATTAATATACTAAATGACATACATTTGGGTGGCATTTCCTGAGCTCCTTTAACACCAAGCTTCCTTTAATGAGCAATTCATAATTAAGAAAGAATAAATCATTCAACTATAAATACAATAGAAGCTTGTGGATGAGCTTTTAACACAAAGTTAAAATGGCATAGAGCAAATGAAAATTGTGCAAAGTACCTAAATAGGCATCTTTCTAAAAAAGATATACATTGTCACATAAAAGATGAAAAGATGCTGAAGATCATTAGCTATCATGGAAATTCAAATTCCAACAAAGAGGAGATATAATTTCATACCTACTATTATACGCTATAATAAAAGAAGTAGTAAGTATTGAGAATGCAGAAATTTTGGAACCCTCATATAACGCTGGTAGGAATATAAAATGTTTTGGCCTCTTTAGCTATTGGTCACACAAAAACTTATGCTCAAATGTTCATAGCAGCATTTTTTATACCAGCCACCTCATTGCTCATCAACTAATAGACTGATAAATAAAATGTTTATGTCCATACAATGGAATATTATTCAGCCATAAAAAGAATAGAGTTCTGACCCATACTGAACATGAAATCACATTAAAACATTATTCTAAGTGAAAGAAACTATCATGCTGAGTGAAAGAAACCAATCACAAAAGACCCAATATTATATGATTCAATTTATGTGAAATGCCTGTCATAGGCAAATTCATAGAGTCAGAAAGAAGATGGGTGGTCATCAGGGAACGGGAAAGGTGGTGTGTTGGGAGTGACAGTAAGTACGCAAATTAATTGCAGTGGTGGATGTGCAACTTTGTAAATATATGGAAAGCCACTGAATTTTACACTTCAAATGGTTGAATTGTGTGGCATGTGAATTTTATCTTACTAAAACTGTCAAAAATCACCCATGCTCTTCCTGGGGATTCCTTTTTGTATTGGTACATGGTTGTGACACATACTACTTATATTTGTTTTGGGAAATAGATGCACATATATATCACATTTTGATCATTTTCAATGTTCAACTGTTCCCCTTCCCCATCTCCAAAAAGTCTGACTTCCTGTTCCTACAATCTCTCCTTTAATTTGTTCTTTAATTTATTTATATTTTGGCCTTCTCATATTATAAGAGAAACCATGTGATATTTAACTTTGTGTGTCTGGCTTATTTCACTTAACATTGTGGTCTCAAGATTCACCCATTTCCCCTGCACATGACATGAGTTCATTCTTCTTTATTGTGATATAAAATTCTACTGTATTTATAGATTGCATTTTCTTTATCTACTGGGTGGTCCTTTTTTAGGGGTGCTATTGTGGAGAGTCTCAAGAAGGTGTGGGGTCACAGGACTCAGAGACCCAAATTCCTGCACAACTCACTGCCTTCTGACCATGGGAAAGTGCTTCCCTTCTGTGGATTTCAAGTTCTTTATCTGAAACATGTGGAAATGACATTTGGTCCCCTTCACTATAGCATCTTATGCATTTAGAGAATTCTATAAGAGACATTTGGAGCAAAGCAGCTTGGAAGCAAGTTTAAAGTATTGCTGATGTAGAACTAGCTTGCCCGGAGCAGAACAATTTAAAAACCAACATTAGGTCGTCTTTGATTAACTTGTATTACTGGCTGAGAGGCAGAGAGCATTCATCTTCCTTTTGGGAAGATTAGAGGTATTAGTGTGTGTGATGTTTCTTTTTTTTTTGTATTAAATTATTTTGTTGGTACATTGTAGGTATACAACACTATTATATTTCTCATTGGGAATTGTACCTTTACATAATGCATCTTGGTTCTTATTTTTTCCCCGTTCCTAGCCCTCCCTTCACACCCTCCACCCTTCCCTATTTACAAAGACTTTATTTCCATTTTTTCCATTTCTCATCTTTTTTCCTTTCCCTTCTTTCCTTTCCTCTGCCC